ACATCAAACTATTACTCAAAGTCTTTTTAGTTTTTAAATAGAGATGTTACAGATGGAAAGAAAAATATAAACCAAGAAAATGTAAGGAAGACTGGAAATAATGCAGAGAGATCCATGATTGGTATCTTTTGTCCGGAGATAAGTATGTAGGCAAAAGGTAATGGAAATTATATGATTTTTAATAGTTGATTTTTATAGTTCGTTTAGTATATCTTTGAGATAAATTTCCAAGGTTTTATCGTTATTTGGTTGAGCTTTTGTAATAGTTTGATGTAGAAACGTCATTGTCTATTGCTTTATCCTGGATGTGTTACTGATATTATGGATATATTCCGCGGACGTATATCCACAGATAAATCTAAGGCTACTCGCATAACTTTATTTTGTATTGTCTACAGTTGCTCTCAAATCTTGATTGTATTCCTAGTATTTACTTTAAAGCTCTAGCGCCTGAAAAGACTACTCAAAGACCTAAAAATTGTTTGAATAATATCTGAATGAAAAGTAATTTAATATTTTTCAGGCCGGATTTGCTACTGTTAATGATTTATCTGTTAAAGATTATGATTATTTAAAGCAAAAATTTCGTATATATCCTCAAACAATGTTAACAATTGCAATATTTTATTCTTTACCTGTTATTCAACTTGTTTTTCCAATATCAATGAAATATTGATTTATCTGGAAATGAAGATATATGTTATTTTAACACGACAATTTGCAATGTTAACAGCGTTTAATAATGTTTTTTCAAACATTGGTTATTGTGCATTAGGATTACTTTTTTTAATTATTGTTTATTGAAGGTTAAAAGAAGATATCCTGCAATTGGAAAAGTAAAATGAAAGAATAATTTATATTGTTTGAATGAGGAATATGGAATTCCTCAGCATTTTGGTCTTTTTTATGCTATGGTTATTCAATTATTTATCGAAGGTCTAATGAGTGGATGGTAAATAAATAGAAAAATTATTGAAACAAATTATTTAATATTGCTTTTTTTTTGTTTTTAGTTATCATATTTGTCCATCAAAACAAAATTTTCAATTTGATAAGAGCTTCATGTTTATCATAGATGTTTTAAATATAATCAAAATATATCAAACAAGACATCCAGATATAAATCTATGTTCAGCCGATGCATTTTCATTTTTAGCTGCTATTATTCTTATTACTATTATTGGAGTAGTACGTTTAGAAAATGACAAGAATTTTTTAATCTTTTTTCTCTTAATTTATTTTGAATAGTATTATGATAAATAGTGGTTTTGGATAACATATGCTATTCTTCATATTTTGATTTGTTTAGCATTTACAGGAAATATTTATTATATGGGAAGATTAAAAGTCACGTTTCATGTATACATGTAAGTTGAAACAATAGTTTCATACAATCAACTTTTTTGTGATTGCAAAACTTATCATCGATGGAATTCATGTTTAATCAAGTGACATTTGTAACAATATCTCTATTCTAATTTTCGCATCTAATGTTTGATTTAGATCTAGGACAATGATTTCGGTAACCGATTCTTGCCGGTAGATCGTAGAAAATGATTGGTTTTAGAAGCAGGAATCTGGCGACCGTATCCGACCGTCAATCATACCTTAGTTCTGACTGATTCTCTTTGAAAATAGAGCAAAACATTCACCAGATATGGACAGAGGATTCCTGCTCCCATGTTCCAACCATTTTCCAGAGCCTTCCGGTCAAAAACAGCCCGTACGCTTCGACCCGAGGAGAATCACTATGGATGTACGCTACTAAGCCGAATGATATCAGATTGATTTAATCTTCTTTCCAAATCTCTTGTCCTAAGTTTTATTTTCTAAAATAAGTCACCAGTACATCTGTTTCCTAGAGAAATAAACTATCGGGACATGTTGCAGCTAGTCGAGCTAATG